CTTCCATGAGCATTAATAGTTAATCCAGGAAGAATGAAGTCCTTAACAACATAAATCTTTTCTCCATTGATAAGAATGCACTGCAGAAATGTAATGCAGCACTGAGAGAGCAAATGCAAAATACAACTCAAGAAAGCAGAGACAAGTTCTCTGTGGTGAGGATTTTCGTTTTCTTTACATTGAGATGCAATCCATACTGAAGGCTGTGCTCTTTGATCTTCATCAGTTTTTAAGTCTTCTTCACTTTCGGCAAGCAAGGCTGTATCATCTGTATATAGCAGGTTGTTAATGAGTCTTCCTCCAATCCTGATGCCATGTTTTTCTTCATATAAGCCAGTTTCTTGGATTTTTCTTCATATAACCCAGTTCAGCATTCTCTCTCTCTCTCTCTCTCTCACACACACACACACACATATACATATACTTAAATTTGGGAAAAATAAGAATCAGATGGTGCCCTGCTACCACTATTGACTGCTCTGAGAGGGATCAAATAGAAAGTCCTGAATAGAGTAGCAAAAGAATGTGAAGCAAAACTCAAATTGTAAGAAAAATATCAGGCTTACTGGTCTGATAGATACTGGTGGAATCCCGGAGATGATGGCACTTTAGACACCCTTCACTTAATTGTACTCATGAGGAATCTGTACCTGGACCAAGAGGCAGTTGTTTGAACAGAACATGGGAACACTGAATGGCTTAAAATTAAGAAAGGTGTGCGACAGTTTTGTGTTCTTTCATCATACTTATTTAACCTGTATGCTGAGCAAATAATCCAAGAAGCTGGGTTATATGAAGAAAAATGTGGCATCAGGATTGGAGGAAGACTTATTAACAACCTGTGATATGCAGATGATACAACCTTGCTTGCCGAAAGTGAAAAAGACTTAAAAACTGATGAAGATCAAAGAGCACAGCCTTTGGTATGGATTGCATCTCACTGTAAAGAAAATTAAAATCCTCACCACTGGACCAATAAGCAACATTCTTATCAATGGAGAAAAGATTAAAGTTGTCAAGGACTTCATTCTTGGATCAACTATCAACACTTATGGAAGCAGCAGTCAAGAAAGCAAATGACGTATTGCATTAGGCAAAACTGCTGCACAAGACTTTTTTAAAGTATTGAAGAGCCAAGATGTCAGCTTGAAGACTAAGGTGCACCTAACTCAAACCATGGCATTTTCAATAACCTCATATCTATGCGAGAGCTGGACAGTGAATAAGGAAGGCCATAGAAGAATTGATGCATTTGAGTTATGGTGTCGGAAAGGAATATTGAAAGCACCATGGGCTGCCAAAAAAACCAGATTTGCGTTGGAGGAAGTGCAGCCAGAGTCCTCCTTGGAGGCCAGGATGGCCAAACTTCGTCTCTCATACTTTGGACATATTGTCAGGAGGGACCAGTCACTGGAGAAAGATATCATGTTTGGTAAGGTGGAGGGTCAGAGAAAAAGAGAAAGACCTCCAGCAAGATGGATTGGCAAAGTGGCAGCATCAATGGGCTCAAGCGTGGCAACGATAGTGAGGTTAGCCCAGGATTGGACAGTGTTTCATTCTTCTGTGCATAAGGTTGTTATGAGTTGGTACTGACTCAATGGCACCTAACAACAACAACAGGTCTGGAACTGAACTCATCACGATGGCTAAACTCACAGTCAATAATACATATGCTTATAATGTGAGTAGGAGCTTAGTGGCTATACAGGATAAGCACTGGACCATGAATTACAAGATCAGTGGTTCAAGCCCACCAGTCGCTTAATGGAAGAAAGGTGAGGCTTCCTGCTCTAGCTAGGATTTACAGCCTTGGAAACCCTATGGTGTTGGTGGTAGTTATGTGCTGTAGAGTTGGTTTTGACTCATAATGACCCTGTATAGGGTATCTAAGGCTATACATTTTTATAGGAGCAGAAATCCTCATCTTTCTTCCATGGAACAGCTGGTAGTTTTGAACTGCTGACTTTGAGGTTAGCAGCCCAATTTATAACCACTATGTTTCCAGAGCTCCTTTGGAAACCCTATATGGGGTCACAGTGAGTTAGAACTGATTCGACGCCAATTAACAACAACAAAAAATAAGGTGAACAACAACACCAGGGAGGTAGGCAATCTTTAGATGGATCAACCATATGAGATCAAAAGGACAGCATTTGTCCAGTGATAAAGCTCAGAAGGCAGGGAGGAATAGGAAACAAGGACAGATGGAAAGGTAAACACAAGGAGGATGTGGGGAAAGTGCTGTTACACTGTGAGGACTGCCAAGTATGCCACAAATCAAAAAGGATAAGAACCGCCACACAATTAATAAGACAAAAGAAAAAATCATATGATTATATCAGTCAATGCAGAAAAGGCATTTGACAAAATCCAACACCCATTCCTGATAAAAACATTCAACAAAATAGAACTAGAAGGGGAAATTCTCAACATAATTATAGGCATATATACAAAACCAACAGCCAACATCACTCTCAGTGGAGGGAAACTGAAGCTATTCCCCTTGCAAACAGGAACCACACAAGGATGCCCTTTATCACTACTCCTATTCAATATTGTGATAGAAGTCTTAGCCAGAGCTATAACACAAGAAAGAGAAATTAAAGGGCATCCAAACTGGCAGAGAGGTAAAGCTCTTTCTAATTTGTAAATGACATGATCCTATACTTAGAAAATCCCAATGATTCGGCAAGAAAATTACTGGAACTCATTGAACGATCAGCAAAGTGACAGGGTACATGATCAACACACAAAAATCCTTTCCGCTAATAAAGAGAGCTCTGATGCATGGAGGGGATTGTAACCATGGCAATGAGACGATATATGATAGAATGAATGTAAAATTAATGTTCTCCCATGTAAACTATTACATAATTCACAATAAAACATTTAAGAAGAAAAAAAGAGAGAGAGAGAGAGCTCTGAGAAGGAAATCAGGAAATGATGCTTTTACAAAAGCCACCCAAAGTATGAGATATTTAGGAATAAATCATACCTGAGCAACAAAAGACCTATACAATAAAAGGTACAAAACACTACTACAAGAGACTTACAAAAATGTAAGAATACACAATGCTCATGAATAGGAAGACTTAACATTGTGGAAATGTCCATACTACTCAAAGCATTTTACAGATATAATGCAATCCTAAGCCTGGTTTCAACAACGTTCTTTAAAGAGATGGAAAAACTAATCACCAATTTCATATGAAAAGGAAAGAGACCCCATGTAAACAAAACATTACTAAAAAATAACAAAATAGGAGGCCTCTCACTTTCTGACTTCAAAACCTACTATACATCCACAATAATTAAAACAGTCTGGTACCAGTACTGGCACAATGAAAGGCACATATATTTGTGGAATGGACTTGAGAACCCAGAAGTAAATTCATCCACCTATGCTCAGTATCTCCAAAATAATTAATCTCCCAAAGCCTGGATGCTGTTTGACAGCCACATGCATCAGAAATGGCTCACCAAGGAATTCCCTTTCTTCAGCTGCAGATCTTCTCCATCATAGGAGCCCTTCATAATCTGGGGACCTCTCCTGTTTACTGGAGACCCCTTCTTAGCCATAGGCCCCTCTTCCTTATCCAAAGACTCACTCTGGGACTCCCTCCTTCACTCAGGAGTACCTCTTTTTCACTTAGAACCCCTTCCTTAACTGAAGACCCCTTTCTTATTTTGCAAACCTCTCCTATAACTGGAGACTCTTCCTTCACCCAGAGAATGTCTTCTTCACCTGAAAACCCTCCTTCAACTGAGAAATCCCTCTTTTGTTATATAGCATAACTAACAGCCCCCATTTAAACTACGTATCTGCTAAGTTCTTTCAGCCCCATCTCACTCTGCCTCCTCCTCACCCCCCACCTTACCCTATGGAAAAATAATAAATAAATATATTACAGGAAAACCTTGAAGGCCAGAATGACCCAAGGACACCTGAATAAACAGGATAAAACTTAACCCAGCCAGACAAACAAGATAAGAGTTTATTGGTGGGTTTACTCCCACTTACAGGATAAGGGTCTGCTGGAATTAACCACCCCAGCTGACAAGACAAGACTGTTTGTTTTAAGCACTCTGTGTTTTTGTATAAAACCCTGTTCCCCTCCTCACTTCGGGGTCAGAGTGATTTGGGCTTGAGCTGACACTCTGGCTGCTGCCAATAAACTTTGCTCTTTAAGTTCTCCGAGTTGAGTTCTTTCTGACTCACGCTGCGGCAACATTTTCATCCAGGGTCCCTCTCCTTGTCCCAGCACCTCCCTCTTTCGTCTGGCACCCCACTCTTCATCCAGACACTGAGGAACGCCTTCTTCACCTGGAGACCCCTTTCGTCTTCACCCAGGAATTCCTCCTAGAACCGCATTCCTCCTCAGAAAACCTTTCCCCAGGGCAGAAGCCTCAAAGTGATCCTTCCCCAAATGTCCAAGCAACCAAGTTGCCCTTTCACCGGTCAGAAGCGGGAGTCAGGACTGCAGACCCCTCCCAGTCCTGAAACACAGTCCCTATGTTGCTGTTGGGGCATCTAAAACCGGGAGCACCCTCCTTTCCCCAGGGTTATGACAATCTTAGTCTGGGTGGAGTCGGCAGAACTGCCTTGGAATTACCAAAATACCCTCCATTTCCCCTTAATAATATAAAAAAAAATTAACTTAGAGTCCTTGAGCCACAAACAAATCAATTTGGACCTAAGCTCCGGGAGGCCTTCTGCCCAACCTGACAGAGGGTAATGCCACCCTCCCCTCCCCGCACCTCCTCCAGAGGCGGAAGGATAGGGACCTAAAAGAGCCAGAGTCCAGCCCTCCGGTACAGAGAGGATAAAGCTGGAGTGGGTCCAAGGCCCCCAAAGAAAGGTTCCTGCCTCGTGTCCTGATCACCGCCCTGCCCACGGTGCGGGGCAGGGATCTCCAGAGCTCGGATTCCCGTCTGGAAAGTGGGGGATGGAGTCGTGTCGCCAACCCCGCTCTTGCTTCCCACCCTGCCAGGCCCCTCACCTTGGCCAGTGCTCCCTGTTGCTGAGGATTCAGATCGCCAACTCGGCCGCTCATGGTGCCACGGGGTGTGGGGCGCAGGGGTGCGGGACGCGCGTCTGTAGCCAGACGTCTGGTCGCTCCAGCACTCTCAGCCTTCGGGGGCTTTTGCTGCGCTCACCAGTCACCGAGTGGACCCGAATTGACCCTGGGCAGGGAGCTGACTCCAGAGAGAGGTCTTTCGAGAGCAGAATCCGTATGCACAGACGCACCTCCACCCTCAGCCTCCTCACTCCAAGGATTCTGACTTGTTCCCACGCAGGATGGGGGCGGGGCTTAAGGGCCCAGGGGCGGGTTTCAGAAAACACCTGGAACCCCTTCAGCGCAAAATGGTGGCACTTTGTATAAACTGACTCAGCAACTCTAAGTACACCTCAGCTCTTCTGAGCCAAAAGCCTCAAACCCTCTCCCCTGACCTGAACATCATGTTAGCGATTACAGATGGAATGCTGTTGTTAAGTGCCATAGAGGCGACTCTGGCTAATAGCGACCCTGTAGGGTTTCAGAAGAGTGGCTGGGGAGCTTGAAGCGCTGACTTTCGGCTTAGCTGTACAGTGTTTATCCTATAGCGCTCTCCTATGTTGTTGTTAAGTGCCGTCGAGTCGGTTCCGACCCATAGCGACCCTGTACAGGGTTTCCGAGGGTGTAAATCTTTACGGGAGTAGAAAGCCTCATCTTTCTCCCGCGGAGCGGCTGGTAGTTTCGAACCGCTGACCTTAAGGTTCGCAGCCCGATTCGTAACCACTACGCTACCAGAGCTCCTTATAGCGCTCTCCTATAGCGGCTCCCTTATGTGCACAATGACTCTGTTCTGGAATTCTCATCCATGGCTGGCTGAAATGTAAAATGGTTGAGCTGTTGTGAAAAATAGTTTGGTGGTTCTCAAACTGTTGAAGAAAGAACTACCGCATGACCCAGCAACCCTAATCCTAGGTTTAGACCCAGAAGAGTGAGTCCAGGAGCAAAAAAAAAGAAAACAAACAGAAGCCTTCACATTAAAGTTCACTGCAGCACTTTTCACAATCGCCAAAAGGTGGAAACAAAATCAAGAGATGAATGGATTAACACAATCTGATACGTACACACAATGGAATATTATTCCACCATAAAGAGAAATGAAATCCTGATGCATGCCACAACATAGATGAACCTTTGAAATCTAATGCTAAGTGAAATAAGGCAGTTTTAAAAGGACAAATACAGACTAAACTCACTTATATGAAATAGACAAATGTATAGTTGTTTGGTGCCATCTCATAGCAACCTTATGCATAATAGAACAAACCACTGCCCGATTCTATCCCACCCTCACAATCATTGGTATGTTTGACCCCATTGTTGCTACCATTGTGTCAATACATCTTTATCAAGCATGAAATCCTTCTTCAGGGGCTGATAACATGTCCAAAGTGTGAGAGAGGAAGTCTCATCATACTGGCTTCAAGCAACACAAATTTGTTTATACTCTGGCAGTCCATGGTACTTTTAATGTTCTCCTCCAATGCCACAATTCAAATGCATCGATTCTTTTAAAGTTGTCCTTATTCATTATCTAACTTTCACATACATATGAGGTGATTGAAAATACCATGGCTTGAATCAGGCACACCTAAGTCCTCAAACTCTTGTCTTTGTTCTTGATGAGACTTCCTCTCTCACATGTTATTTGATTTCTGGACTGCTGAGTGTTGACTGTGGATCCAAGCAAAACAAAGTCTTTGACAACTTCAATTAAAGATTAGTGGTTAGGAGTGGGAGGGCTTGTTGTTTAGAGTGCACTGAGTTTGTGTTTGTGGTGGTGCACTAATTTGCAAAATGACAGTAAGATTGGTTGCATAAGTTGAAGAAATTGTTGAGTTGTATATTTTTGTTGTGTATATATTCATAAAAATCAAAATAAAATGGTCCAAGCCTCCAAGAGGGGCAGGAGGATTCGTTTGGCAGCTGCACCATGGGGATCGCAGGGCGTATCATAATTTCAGTGACAGCTGTTAGCAATAGGGTTTCATAACGATTATGAGGAGGCTGTCATCAGAGCAAGGCGTAAAGGGCTGGAATCCTGGTTGTGGTCCAGGCTGTGAGCATCCACAGCTGCCAATACAGGAAGTTGCAGTGAAGAACAGATAACGTCTTTGTATGGGGTGGCTGAGGGGTTAAGAGGTCAGGGATGGCAGATGGCTGACCCAAATATCAGAATCCAGAAAGCCAGGAAGAGGTACTTGGGGAAAGTAAGAAAAAGCAAATTGACTGGAAATGAATTTTCAAAAGAGGAGCCAATGGGAGGTGAAGGTAGGGGATAAAGAGGCCTGGAGTCATTTTCCTTGTGCCTTCTCCTGGGATCAAGCCAAGTTCTAGGCCTGCAAGGACCAGTAGGGTAGCCATAAGCCACATGTGACTACTGAGCACTGGAAGTCATCTAGTCACTGGCACCAGTCCAGATGTGCTGTAGGTAAATGTACACCAAATTGCAATGGCTTAGTATTAAATGAAAGTGTTCATTAATTTTATGTTGACTACAAGCTGAAATGAATGGCAATATTCTGAGTTCTATTGGGATAAGCCAAGTGTGGCGCTGTGGGCTAATGCGTCAGACTGCAAAAGTTGTTTGAACTACAGGGTCGGTGGTTCTAGCTCACCAGCTGCTCCTTGGAAATCCTATACAGGGTCACTATGGGTCAGGTCGGAATTGACTTGATGGCACTTATCAACAACAACAACAATTGGGATAAGCAGAATATTTTATGGAAATTAATTTCAACTTGTTTCTTCTTAAAAAACGTGGCAACCGAAATTTTGAAATTACATATACGACCCACATTGTATTTCACTTGGTCAGAGTTATACTGTTGTTGTTAGGTGCCATTGCGTTGCTATCAACTCATAGCAATGCTCTGCACAGCAGAACAAAACACTCCCTAGTTCTGGGCCAGTCTCACAATTGTTGCTACACTGTGCCATTGCTGCTGTCACTGTGCCAATCCATCTGGTTGGGGGTCTTCCTCTTTTTCGCCGACCTTCCACTTTACTAAGCATGATGTTCTCCAGGGACTGGTCCCTCCTGATAATATGTCCAAAGTATGAGAGACAAAGTCTGGCCATCCTGGCTTCCAAGGAGCAATCTGGTTGTCTTTCTTCCAAACAGATCTATTTGTTCTTTTGGCAGTCCATCATACTTTCAATATTCTCCTCCAACACCATAAGTCAAATGCATCAATTCTTCTATGGTCTTCCTTATTCATTGTACAACTTTTACATGTAAATGAGGTTATCGAATATACCATGGCTTGGGTCAGGCATACCTTAGACCTCAAACTGACATCTTTGCTCTTGAACACTTTAAAGATGTCTTGTGCAACAGATTTGCCTAGTGCAATATGCTAGAGGGATATGTTACATAATCCAGAGGGATTTTTAAATCTTTAAAAAAGTGAAATCACAAAAACTAAAAAATCCCTAGATACCCTTCAGGCCTGGAACTGAACTCATCCCCATGGTGCAACTTTCAGCTCGGCAATAGGCAGACTTATAAGGGGAACAATACTACCAGAGAGGTACACACTCCTGAGAACAGTCAACCACAGGAGATCAAATGGGCAGCATTTGTACAGGATAAAGCTCAGAAGGCAGGAAGGGACAGGAAAGAAGGGCGAAGGGAAACATAAATAGAAAGGAAGAGGAAATAGAGATTGCTGTCAATATGACAAAGCAAAATATGTATGAACCGTTGAATGGAAAACCAATTTGCTCTGTAAACTTTTACCCAAATCACAATAAAACATTTAAAAGTTTTTTTTTAAACCTACAATAGTGATGTTTGCAAAGATGTGGTTGACACTTAAAAGCAATGACAGAAATCATAATGGGAAGATCAATTGATTTGACTAAGCAAAAATACAAAAAAAATCTATTAAACAAGAAACAAAAAGAGGCATTAAATCAGTATTTGCTGATGTGAATTCAAGAAAGGTGTGCAAAAATGGGTGTTTTTATAAGGAATACAAGTAGATAAGAAAACCAGTAAGTTCAGTTATAAAAATGAATGAAGTACTGACACAAGCATTAATTAGCATAGGTGAATCTTGGAAACACTATACTAAGAGAAAGAAAAGTACAGACGCAACATATGACATAACGTCTGATTCCATTTATATGAATTATCCAGAATAGGCAAATCCATAGAGACAGAAATCAGATTTGTGGTTTTCAGGGGCTGGAGGAAGGGAGAACAGAGGAGTGATTATTCTGGGTTATGGGTTTCTGTTTGGAATGATATAATAATAAAGGAGCTCTGGTAGCATAGCGGATTACGAGCTGGACTGCTAACCACAAGGTCAGTAGTTTGAATCTACAAGATGCTCTGCGGAAGAAAGCTATGACTCTCTGCTCCCATAAAGGTTTAGAGTCTCAGAAACCCTATGCAGTGACCCTGTGGCACACAGCCACCCCCACCATCACAAACAGTAATAAGGAGTCCTGGTGTGGTACTGTAGGATAAGCACTGGACTGCAAGGACAGTTTGAATCTCAAGGCTGACAGTTTAAATCTACCAGCTGCTCCTCAGAAACCCTATACAGGGTCACTATGAGTTGGAATCGACTCAACTGCACTTAACAACAACAACATATAGTAATGATGGTTACACAACATTGTGAATATATAAATGCCACTGAATCACATACTTCAAAATGGTATATTTTATATTGTATGTGTATTTTTATCAAAGTTTACAAACTACCTAAAAAAAAAAAAAAGAAATGAAAAAGAAAAGAACAGAAAAACATTAACGTGTAAATGGACCAAGGGCTTAAAGCACTGATTTTCAGAAGATGACATGTATCAGTCAGGTAAATAAGCAAATGAATAAATGCTTACCCTTGAGGGCTGTCAAGAAACATGTATTCAAGAGGAAGAATCAAGATGGCGGATCGGGTGGACGTATAGCAGAGAGCTCCGCCAACAACAACACAGAATACCTGACCAAGCAGGTTCAGGGGCTGGTCCCAGATCTCTGAACCTCA